ACTACCAAGTAATGACGCAAAACGAGAGCACATTAACAAATGGGTGGCGGAAAATACGGCAAATAAAATCACTAGCCTCCTTCCTTCGGGTTCTATCACAAATGACACAGTGCTATCTGTGATCAACGCACTCTACTTCAAAGGTATTTAACAAGTTTGTGAGCGATAATGCTTTTCAAAGGTAACTGGAATTCACCATTCATCAAGGAGCGCACAACTACGGAGGAATTCCATTGTTTGGATGGAAAACGGATTGCTGTAAAAATGATGTTTGTCAAGGCTATGTTTGGATATAATTCATGGGATGCCTGTGCAGCCCATGTCCTACGCCTTCCATTCAAAGATACCAAGTAAGCGTAGTACAGTATCGTAGCTTTGGGCCTGTATAGTACAGCAGCGTTCTTTGATGATATATGAAAATCTACTAAGGTGACATATTCAAACAACTGCGATTCCATTACTGTCCTATCAGCTGAGCTTCCGAAAACAATTTCTTAAATCAAACTTATCCACTGCATGTATAAATGTGAGCGTTCAGAACTATGCCTAACTCGATGACAGTTAAGTGTAATGCATAAGAGGTTGCTTCTTCTCTAAATTGGGTGTTTTCTTCCTCCTAATTTACTCTTCCTAACGAACTCACACGAGATGCTACTCTCATTCCTACACATTAACGACATATAAGTTTATTCATTCCTTGAACTCCCATCTACTGATTTCCATTATATTCACAAATGAAGTGCAATGATCAATGTGAACCGATTTGCTGTTTAGGTTTATTCAAAGAACTCATCTATGTGATAGCCGAAATCGCGAAAACCTGGCTGTCTGTAAAAGATTCTTATCAACAACCCGTGAAAAGTAGAACTCATTTGAGTAACTCTTCTTCTCTGACACCATCAATGGGTAAATTTATTTTAGTTCAACACTTCGTGGATCGAGAAGTGAAAGCTGAACAGCACCACCAATCTAAAGAATGATCGTTCCTTGTGTTATACGGATAATAGCTCCCCGTCTGAAAGCACAAATATGAGGTGCACCTGAATCCCTACATATTAAGGGGGGCCCAGATATATCAGCTGATGGATTCATATTTTTACTACCCAAATTAACCACCATGTTTTCATGGTTCGTTGCTTTCGGGTCCCCTATGTTGCCTGGAATTAGAGGAATTATTAGCAATGGAACGTGTACATGATTTGAAACCATGAATATCTAAGAGGGACAAATACAGGCAGTCAGGCTTGTCTGATTGTGAAATCACGTGACCTGGTCTAATTCGTCTCTCGTTCACAATAGATCAATAGGAAGACAAGAAAACAAGCGGACACGCGGCTAAATGTACACACGTATAGCATTTGCATTCATTTACCTTGGTTGTAGTTTTATCAAATCAGGAAAGCATTGTGAACTCCAGTACCAGTGGCCTAAGCAAGGCTGGTCATATTTAAGCTTCTCAGAGGATAAGATCAAAATTAATGTAGTGATACAAATTACTAGTAATGATACGTGGTCAATGATTTCTTGCAACCATACAGTACTCAAGGTAACGTAGACGAATTTGCACAAGCCAGTACGTGTAATATATGCTATTATTAGCAATAATTATTTGATCTCGAGAAGTTACCTCTTCATTCTTATCAGTGGAGAGGTTAATTCTGTGGCGTAAACCTCTTATGATATTAACACAACTTTCATCTAACAAGCAGCTGTTGGACAGCCGTTTTCTCCCGGAGGTAGCATTTCATCGAGATAACTGGTCACCAAATAGTGGCTCCCATGAACAGGTGTGTGACTCGTCTTTAAGAAGCATATACCAGGAGACCACGATCATGCTTTTCAAAAGCATTATTCAACTTAAGAAGTTTGATGTGTCGTACGATACATCCTTTTTCTTTATGGACCACTTGTCCCAGTTTGTGCATTTTGCCTTACTTCAGCTACCACTGCAGTCGGTAAATCTACTGAGGTGATATTATCCACCATGAGAACTTTAAAGAAGAATAGCATGGATAGAACATACGAACGTCATCAACATTTTGGTCATGCCATGGTAATGTACTTTAGCATCAATAAAATGGAGCTCGAAACAGTGACAGTACAACCCGAAACCCGGTTTATTCCCTCAAACATATTGAACTCTACTGGTTTGGTTTGCGTGACCACAACGTTTTCGCTGTATGTGTAGCCGTTTGCTATTTGGTAAAACAGGGCGTGGTGTTAAACCTACCAACATCGTATCCTCTCCACTGATGACTCATGCACATCCGAAAAAAGTAACACCCTATTTGAGTGAATCGGCCGCGGTACCATTTTTACAATAATATATCAATGAAATGCCGATCCGCCCAAACTATTGTCGATGCTCCAAGCCGGAGCATATAGGGTGACGGTCAAGTCATTTCCGAATTGCATTTGTTGAGAAGATTTACCGCTGACGCCCCCTGAAAGTTGTGATTGTCCGATGTGAACGACACCGCATTCATTACAGTCAAATCTACAAATATGATTCGTGGTAATAGCTTTCAGAATTTCGTCAAGGCTTTACCTGCTCCAAAGCATCGTACGTGGCAGAAAACACCTCCATTAACCAGTAAATGAGACGGACAGAAATTGGCATTAGTTATTGCAACTGTCTGCGAGAGTTCTAAGGATTCATTGGCTAAATCCTTTGTCGGATAGGTAATATCTTAAAAAACGACCATGGTTTTCTAATTATACGTGGACAGTCATGAAAACCAGATGGAGTTATGCCTGTTGGACTTCATTGTATGGTTTTACACACCGCTGAAAAGTTCCTTAGAAGGAGTAAAGAATAGTCCACACAGTACCTTCTTTAACTAACGATGAATTCTCCGAAACTGTCAACAGTGACTTTCGTGCTTTTCGACCATCTTGAGTAGAATAAATAAACATCCTAACTGCTTTTTGTGCTTAAGTGCTTCTCGAATAGAACTCCGTGGAAAATTTTATATCCTACCCGTATACTTTCAAATAGAATAGCTTGGCGGATCACTTATCTAAGATGGCATTTAGAAGTGTCCTACTATATCCTACGCGTGATCTTTTGTACACGTCTAAGTTGGGTCGACCACCCTTGGTGAGGAGAGTAGTTAATCGATTCCCGGCAAAAGCTCCGATAATTCAGCCTGCATCTGAAAAGTTCAATAGCGATATGTGTTTGGTTCCAGGAATAAAATACATTACCGCAGGTGGGATCCTATGGATTATTCCGGGTAGTCATCGGAAAGTGTGGGAATACCATGGCATACTTCCATGTCAATATGGTGCTTACATGCCAAACAACACTGAAGGCCTTGGTACGACATCAACAAAATGGTTCTTACACCTTTGCTTTCAGGATTTTAAAAAGTTCCCCCAAAAAGATATCATATTCTAGATTACTTTAGGTGGTCTTTTATGAATGACTCAGTGGAATTTAAAACGTCTCTGCTTGGGGCATACTGCACATACATAC